GACCTAGTAGTGATTCCAGCACGATGCAGAGGGTCTGTTTAGAACCTCCACTCTACACATGGCAGATATGCTACCAAATGACAGTCCTAAAGCCAGGACAGGGCGATGAAGGTAGGGACACATAATGTGTGAATCTCCTCCAGGCCTTCTCTGTGCTGACTCGTACCACAGTAGATCTGCCTCACATTTGAGAAGAAAGAGGCTTTCCGTTGCAGTGAAGGGGTCTGCCAAGCTGTGTCTGATGGCTCTGGGGCCTTCTGCATGCACTCCTGCTACTTGGTATCCTTCGCTAACTGGTAATGAACCACCTGAGGTTAAAAATTGTGTTTCATGTGAGTCTGACGACATTCTGGGTCTCTGCCATCACTACCTGAGCCGATGGTGTGTGCCGTGTTCCTCAGAAAGCAGAAGAGCTTGAAGAATCCATGACTTGCTCTAGAGTCTAGATCCTCCTGACCTCCAGGGGCTAAACACACATGGAATAAAATAACTTAGCCAAGCCTTGGGTACAAGTGCACAGCCCTGCCACACTTACTGGTGAACACACAGAAGGAAACAGTCCAAATAATATTGGTGACAATTTACACAACCCTGGAGTAAGTTACAGACAAGACATGGACACCATGGGGAGCAGATTCCTAACATTACAAAAATGTCACAGAACAATCCTGAACTTGTGTTTTGTCTCTTAACTGATTTCTTTTTTATTTTGGCACGGATCCCAGAGAGCTTTGTTCTCTATAACTTATTTCCATGAGTTGTAAACATCCAAATGCACTCACATAGTCACTTAAAGGAAATAAATATTTTGCCCCAGGTTCTGTGTGTCCTTAAGAGCAGAGAAGGACTTGTTCACCCAGTACAATAGTCTCTGTAACATCATGAGACCTTGAGGGTTTTGCACCAAAGACAGTTCACTTGAGGGACTTTAAAGTGACCATTTGGGTAAAACTGTCAGGATGTGGCTGAAACATAAGGGAAAGCAGGAAATTTGTCACCATCGGGATAAACAGTGGACAGAACTGTTTTCCTACTGATATCCATGAAGCATCACTATGGTGTCAAGATACCTCCCAGGTGTTGATTTCAAGTAAGAATACTGTGATGCTCTTAGTGATACAGAGACAACCTGACTGTGAGCATGATCTCCCCTGGGTGTCATTTCCAGCCTCCACATGCTGTCTCTGCAGCAAGATCACTTGGCACGAGCATGGCCAGCTCAGGGTTCAAGGCCCTGGGGAGGCCGGTTAGCCATCAGGATAGGGAACAGAAGAGTTGTCCTGTGTATGTGTCCACTCCAAGACACAAACACATCTACCTGCACTGGGCTGTGTGCAGAATTCAGAGCTGCGTGACAGTTATTTTATAATGAGATGGGTATCTATAAAGCATAGACACATAGAGATCTTTAATAGCTCACATGCATTTTATTTATTTCTTTAAGTTTTCTCCTGGTGAAAATGAATAAGCTCCACGGAACATGGGATTTCCTGGGAAACAGAGGTCATTTCTCTTACTTTATGGGCCCCTGCATTCAAATTGCCTGGGCCTTGGGCAGAGTGAGATACAAAGCATTGATCAGTTGATGCCTGGATCAAAAAATTTACAAAATGGCACAAAGAGAAGATCTAAATGTTTCACCCTTTGAAATTTTGCTGCATCATTGTAGATAGAACATACAGAATATTGACTAGGAACTGAGTTATGTACTGTTCAGATACCATACTGTCCTAAATGTCATCTTGAATGCAGGGGGTGGCTCACGAGCTGCATAACCCGCTTGCAGACCTCACATGGGCGCTCCTCCGCCTGCAGCACAACGTGACACGTAAGCACCGTCTGCTGGTCTGCTGCTCGGTAGCTGCTGCTCAGCGTATCAGCAGCTACGCACCAGGCCCCACCCCTGTGGGACAGGAGCGCCTCACACCTCACACCTCACACTGCATAAAACCACTGTCACACGGCTCACATCACACCCGGCCTCATATCTGAATGGCTATATCAGAAGTGATGTTACCAAATTTCTCTTTCATCTAAAAATATGCTTTTCCCACAGATGCCCACCTAATTCTGTGAAAAAGCAATGATACAGTCAACCTATGGACCTGCTAATACGGCCATGATCCAAATACAAGAGTAAGTGACGTTCCTCCAGCAGTTGCTACAAAATGCTAAAATGTTAACATTTCTTACAGCGCGTTAGTGGTTCCTATTCTTATTTTGCCTATGCCCTCATATCATGTGCATAAATGGCTTTTTATATGCAAATGATCTAGGAACAAAAATCAGCCTCTCTGGAAGTTCTGTGGATCCAAAACTTGGATTTTGAGCACTCATTTGCTCCAAAGAATGAGGTAAGTAAATTCCCTTGAGACTTCTCACGGGAAATTTTAGATGATCCACGTAGGTCACAAACATCTTAATCACTCTGGCATTCAATGTGTTCCATCAAAGGGTCTTCCCCGCCCGGTCATCTGGACTCCTGGCCCCTGCCAAAGTACCTTCTTCATTGCCACGGTCACATCCTTGTTCCTCAGTGTATATATGATGGGATTGACTGTGGGGGTGACGATGGCGTAGAACAGAGAAACAAACTTGCCCTGATCCTGGGAGTAGTTGTTGCTGGGCTGGAGGTAAGCATAGATGGCTGTGCCATAGAACAGGGAGACCACTGTGATGTGGGACCCACATGTGCCAAATGCTTTCCTCTGCCCTGCAGATGACTTTATTCTTAAGACTGCCCTGAGGATCTGACCATAGGAGAAGATGATTAACGTCACAGGTATGAGGAGAATGACCACACTGGCAAAGAACATCTCTGACTCATACACAGTGGTGTCAACACAGGCAAGCTTGAGCAGTGCGGGGATCTCACAAAGGAAGTGGTCTATTTTATTTCTCCCACAAAGTGGTACAAGGAAGATGAGTGTTGTTTGCAATGAGGAGTTGGCAAAACCAAAGAACCACGATGCAGAAGCCATGAGGGCGCAGAGACGGGGGTGCATGATCACGGTGTACTGCAGGGGCTTGCAGATNCAGAGACGGGGGTGCATGATCACGGTGTACTGCAGGGGCTTGCAGATGGCTGCATAGCGGTCAAACGCCATGAGCCCTAACAGAATGCATTCCGTGCATCCCAGCCCTAAGAAGACAAACAGCTGAACTACACAGCCACCAAACGAGATAGACTTGTCTGCTGTCCTGAGATGAACCAGGAGCTGAGGGACAGTGCTGGTCGTGTAACACAGGTCCAGGAAGCTTAGGTTGGAGAGGAAAAAGTACATGGGAGTATGTAGATGTGGGTCCAGTTGGGCCAAGGCAATGATGGTGGTGTTTCCCAGCAGAGTGAACAGGTAGAAGATTAGGAGGACCACAAAGAGGACTAGCTCCAGTTGAGGCCGGTCAGAGAACCCCAGCAGGATAAACCCCGTGAAAGAACTGCCATTTTTCTGTTCCATCCTCTGTTAGCACATGTTTCCTGCCTGGACCAAGCATTTAGCAACTTTTAAAAGAAATCTTAAAAAAAAAAAAAAAAGTTGATGGCGGGGGAAGTGAATCTGTCATAAGACATGGCCACAGAATATTAAAGGTAGAATTTAAGTAAATGACTAAAATTGACATAGCTTATACCAATTTAGTTCCACATTATCACGAACAGTGAATCATTAATATGTAGTTTAAGAAAACAAAATAATGGACATTGTGTTGCCATCAGTCATAAATATTAAAAGTCTTTCAGTCTGAGCTTAAAGACACTTAAAGTACTGTAAGTTTGTACATACATTCTAGAAAGAATGGGGATGAGGGAAAAAGATGTAGAGCAATCAGGAAGAATCAGAAAGAGATAAAGAGGGGAGAGATGTTACTGTAAATACATATCTCATGATTATACACAATTGGATTTGTACACGCCTCACATGCAATAAAATACAACATAATCTCAAAAATACATTCAGATATAAGAATTTATTAACTGGAATGTACATATACAAATAATTCAGTTACATTCAAAATATCATTAATAGTTCGGCATATGAACATTGTATGTATTAGAGAGATACAGTATCTCTCTAAGATACTATATTTATGAAAGCTACAGGTTTGTCTGGATTTTTTTTTTTTGTATGGTAGTAAAACAACTAAATACTCAAATCAGAGAGAACCTGAAAACACCACCACCATTCAATTACACTGCTTAACTTTTGTCCTAAAGATGCTTAAAATCACGGTAACAGTATAACCAGAACTCTGAAAATTCCTTGGCCCTGCATAGCCAGGGGGAATCAGAACTCTAAAATCCACTGGCCATGACATTCCTCTTCCTTCTGCAGATTTCTGCTCCAAACAGTACCTTCTGCTCTGCTGCACATGAAATTCCTAAAAAAACGTGGGATTATCCACTATCAACATTCTACTCAGAATAAACATTTTAAAAATTTACCCAATGTGTAATCTATGTACAAAGTATAATGTTCTGCTTCACTCCCTATGGTAAAATCCCCAAGCTAAAATATTGAAATAGGTAAATACATAGAGATAAGGACAAATATATTCTCAAAGCAATGACAGGTAAATATCTATAATGGAAGACTTTGAGTACTACACAAAAAATTATAGAAAAGGATATTATGCTACTATCTAATACTCAGATACCCGTCAACATTAGGTTAGTACCTTCTTGAAGCTGTCTTGCAGAGTTAATGATGCTGAATCAGACACGTTACCAGCGCTCGGGTGAGTCGATGACCTTATACTTCCAGCTGCTTAGTACTGAAGAAACATAGTTATAAACCAACGAAAGAGGAATCAGAAAATGAGTATTTCAGTTCTAGCATGTTCAAATGCTTAGGCATACAGTTCATTTTTTGTTCTTCTGAGACTAAATATCTGAATCAGGTTTCAGGGCAGACCCACTAGTTTGTGAAAGAAATTGGTAAAAAACTGGCATAAAATAAGTATTTATGGAATCAGAATAGAGGATACAGTATGTCACATTATTTTATACTTCCTTGGATTTCCTGTAGAAATGCATTCAGTTGTATCCACCAAAAAAAAAAAAAAAAATCTATCCACAAAAACTTTCTTAATGGAATTAATTATAAAAGTATCTGAGACAGTGTAAATGTGCAATAACAGGGAATGTGCCCAGACTCACATCTGCTCAGAAGAGCAAATAAAAACAAACCATTGTTCAGTTTTATGCACACACGCACAAATAGAGATAAATTATCTGAAATAAGTTGCTGGCGTTTTCAAGGTGTCTAATGAAGGCATTACTCACCAAAGGAAGGAGGACAAAAGGGAAATGTTAACTCATCCAAGGAAAACACCAATATCATATTGTACCAACACAATACATAGTGATATATTTTAACATCATCTTATCAATAAGGACTAAGAAGGAAGGAGAGAAGACAAAACTCTGGTGAGCTGAACTTGTACAAATGGTTTCCTTCTTTTCCAGATTATAGATGTATGTGTATGTGTATATACATATATCTAAAGAATGCTGAATGGCTTCTAACTGATGGGTACAAAAATGATTATGATTTTCAGTTGAAAAATAAAGCATCAGGCAAAGGAGATGCCCACTAAAAGAGACAAAAAGAATGGGATTGTCTGTG